GGGGAGGAGGACGTTTCAGGACACGGGGGGGGACATTGAGGGACCTGGGGGTGGGGAGGATGGCGAGAACAAGTGACATTTGTGCTGTGACCTGACAGCTGCATCAGGAAACCCAGCTTTTAAACTCGCGTGTGACTCACAGTGATTTTGAAGCCCTCTCTAGAATTAGTTGGTCAGCTTTCTTTTAAAAACTTTCCAAGGAAATAACTAGAGCATTATTTTTCTCTCGATGCAGCAGGAACAGGTCTCTGAGTCATTCCGAGTTGGACTCCTCTTTTTAATAAACAGTCACCAGTAATTGCAGTCTTGGCTCCTGGAGCCATGTACTAAGCCTCTCAGAGCAAGTGGCACAGCGGGGCTCCCCGTTTTTATTGTGCACACGATTCAGTGGCTCATAGCTCCTGTGTCCCACGAGGTCTCAGCTAGAGTGATTTGGAGGACTGCAGGGGATGTCATGACTGACAGGGGCCGTGCGGTCTCCATGTGGGCTCTGACGGGCTGACCTTTCCGCCATGCCGCCTTCACTGAGTGGTCAGTCAGGTGCCGCATGCAGGTCTTTAGAACTGGGTTCCTGGGTAGTGCAGATGGTTAGAACACTTACCTACTCACTGAGGGGTTGAAGGTTCAAGTCCGCAAGGGGCTCCTTGGAGGACAAGTTTGGAGGGCCACTTGTGGAAAAGCCACCCTAATGTCTTGGGGACACAATTCTCCAGTGCTCGAGGTCCCACCGTGAGTCAGAGTCCACTTGGTGGCAGGCCCTGGTGGCACAGTCTGTAGGACATTGTGCTGCTAAACCCAGAGCCCACACCTTGCTGGCAGTCCACGTCCACCCGTGGTCTGCAGGAGAAGACGTACAGTCTTACGCAGTTTACAGTCCTGGAAACCCAGTGGAGGGCCAGCTGTGAATCAGCTCAAGCTCGTGAGTTAAGAGCTTTTTTGAATATTTAACTTGTTTGAACTTGAGCTTTTCATAATGTGCATAAGCAACGGCTCTCTGTAGTTTCAGTCTTTACTAAAATCCTCTGTCCCTAATAGACTTGCATTTCTCAGTAAAGGAGGCAACATGCTGATGGGGTGCCCAGTGGGACTCATTGGTAAAGACTCCTGAATTGATGGCGTGTTTAATCAAACCAAGTTGGTGCTGGCACTGTCCGCTCTGAGTGTGGACCGACAGTTGCCTGGCCTGGGCCCCTGCATGCTGTTGGGGAAAGGGTCAGGTTGTACGTCTTTGACTCTCATAAAGTCTGCATACATGCAGCAGGCGTAACAAACCCGTCAGAGTGGCTGCCCTGCGTGCTGCAGGCAGGGACTGGGTCAGCCTCACTGCAGGGCGGTATTTCTCAGTCTGCTAGATGTCAGGGTGTTTGCAGGCTAACGGTGTAAAATGTGTGCTGCACACATTTTTATGACTGTCTGTGGGAGCATGAACTTAATAATTGTTTTTATAACCTATATA